CGCCATGAGCTCCTACATACTTTTTGGCAATGTCTTTGCCAAAGACTTTCGTAGTGGACAGTTGTCTTTCAAGCCGTTCTTGAAAGATACGACTGCCACCTCTTGATTACATTTGGGTATTCGATTGAACACCTCATAGTATCTTTTTGCATAGGCCCTAAGGCCTTCACCCTTGCTGATCTTCAGAGCCATCAACGCGTCCACCCTTAATGGCTGCAGCTTGTTTGTTACAAACCTGGCCACAAACATCTCGGCCAGGCCTTCCCACGTCTTCACGCTTCCCTTCGGTAGTTTGTGGAACCAATCTGATGCAATCTCCCCGAAGGATGAGGGGAACACTTTGCAGAGTAATGGCTCGTTCCCACTATACAATGCCATTGAGTTCAAATAGAGTCCAACGTGGAAGTTGGGGTCTGACTTACCATCGTATATTTGAAACCTTGGCATACTGAATCTCTTCGGCGCCTCAAACTTGTCTAATTCCACCGAGAATGGTGTCCTCGGCTTATCTGGGGAGGTTACCTCGGCGTAGGCATTCTGTTGTTTCCTTTTGAGGTAATCTCTTAAGTCTTCTTTGCTCTGCCCAGGAGCTCGGCTATCCTTTGACTTTAGTATTTTCGGTATACTACTCTCGGCCTCGTGGTGAGCCCTTTTCGACCCTTCTCCGTGAGTTGTGTCGAAGCACAATGCCTGCCCCTGAACATGTCGATGTCCTTTGGGGTCTGCTTCTTTTGTACGATGCGTCCTCCGTGATTCTTCTCTTCTTGATTCTCTTCGTCCGACTTCCCTAGAAGGTCGGTGAAAGTATCTTTCGCTCCCGTTATGCTGAGGGGCTACGGGGATTGTTTTCTGCCCTCCCTTCTAGGCATTGGCCGCTGGAATCGGCGTGTCCTGCAGCGGATATGGTGGCTGCATGACGTTATTTTGCATCATGAAATTGACGACCGACTGTAGGTTTGCCAATTTGTTTGCTGTATCTCTTACCTCTTCGTCCCTCTGTAGGCACCTATCCTTCCAAATTTGGAGGTCGTCCTCGTCGTAATATCTGTTTTGATCCGGTTTTTTTGGCGTGTTGCCAGTCTGGCCGACATCTTTTACTCCATGAGTTTGTTCATGAGTTTCTGCGTTCGACCTTTCTCCTTCGCCATCAAGGTCAATTGGTCTCCCACTCCCAGTAGGAGTGTCGTCCCCAATCTTTTCCTTTTGTCCATTACTGGCCATCTATCCTACTTTCGTTTCCACAGACGGCGCCAAATTGTGTGGGTGATTTTCTGACCACACTGCCCGCTTAGTAACCAGCTGGAGAGCACCGGCAGAATAGATGGCACCTGGCTAACCTGTAACAGAAAGAGAAGATTCCGGTGGTGGTTTCGACCACCCAAGGGCACTCCGACGATCAAGTCAGTATATCTCTCAAATATAATGCTAAACTCAATGCTTAAAGCACAAAATTGCGTACCTTAGACCTATGGGGGTGCCTCTCTTTTATAATTACCTAAATCTTAATCCCAATAGAAGCCTGACTTCTATGGATTCCTATTTAGTACTTACTTTGGACTTCTTTAGAGATAAAGATAAACTCCCTAAGAGTTTTATCCTTATCTTGGCTAAGTCTCCTCTCATGTTATGACTCTTGTCCCTTATCTTTTATCCGATTATCTCGAATTCTGATATCTTCGGAGATAACCTCGGCTTAACCGAAATGACCTCGGCATATAGACCAGGACATGTGGCACCTCGGCTGACACGTCGGCATCACCATACCACGTGTTGGCACTCAAAAATATATTCCCACACAACTAGTTAGATTATTAGTTCAATTGGTCACTTGTGTATAGTTACTTATTGAGAGTTTTGGAGATCAATTTTGCATAAACAAATTTTAATTAATTCATCATCTGCGTGGTGGCTAAGTGGATAATGCACTTACCTTCTAGACGGAAGAGCAGAGTTTGAATCCTGGGGGTGTAAAACAACTTCGGTTGACTATGCTACATTCCAATTGAGACTATACTTTTTGTTGTGGCTGTGGATCAGGTTTATTGTGTGTTTTGGTTATGGTCCCTTCCTTTAAGTTGAGAATTCATAGATGTTATGGTACCTCACAGAACATTGTGGTTTCAAATGTTTAAAAAAAAAAATTGATTAGCTCTCGTCGAGAATACAAAATAAAACCCTCCAATTTTATTTTTAAATTTTAACATTCAACATTTAATCTGATCCAAATGAGATAGATTAATTAGACTTGTCATGTGCAACATTTTCACTTAGGACCCATATGTTTGGACGCCATCACAATTTTGAGTGGACTATGATGGATACACAGTGCATATAGCTCATGCTTGTTTTGTTTGTGGCCTCTGGATTAATAGTCCGTTTATGGGTTTTGGGCGAGCGGATTGATAGTCCGGGCAAAGAGGTGGAATTACAAAAATAGTTCGTTGGTTTAGTGAGTTGCCGGACATCCGGCTGGTCAACCTGTCGGTCAACCGGTCAACTGATTTTTTTTACTTGTTGGATATTTTTTTTAAACATTAATGTTTAATGTTTTTGTATTTTTTGTTAAGTAAAAATCATAATTTTATTTGTTTTATTATTTTATATTTATTTTATATAAAAATAATTTAACAATCCCTTCACTAACAAAACAAACACAATTTTACTAATCTCCTCATTATCAATCACATCTATTCTATTTCTGAAAGGACTTTGCTACAGACCCCCACTGGGGGTCGACCCCCAGTGAGGTTGCAGCGTGCCATTCGTCCAAATCACAAAAAAAATAAAAAAAAAAAAAAAAAATTTTTGACCAATGAAAAACCTCCGTACATGATCCCCAGTAGCCCCCACTGAGCTCTTAGGCATTTTTGTTTCTAAAAATAAACAGAATCTTATTTCTAAATCTCCTCTATTCTACCCTGAAAACAAGTCAACTTTATCTCCAAAGAATTTGTACTCTACTTGGCTGTCAAGAAAATACGCCACTTTTGACTTGCCATTCATACCCCACTACTACAGGATTACGTGCCCCCATCTTTCCCTGTTTCACTATCTTACTTCAACTTATAAGTTTATTATTAAGCGTTATTTGTCATAGCATAAAAAAAATTAAAAAATTGTTATTTTATTTAAGTCATATCATTTTATTTAAATTATATCACTTTTTTATCATATCACTTCAAACACAATCTATACTTAATTCATATTTTATAAAAAATTAAAAAATATACTTATTTAGATAATTCTAAATCACCCAACAAATTTGTGATATAAGTAAGTAAAATTGATATCCGAATTAGTAGATCTAATGGACTACATATCAAGTTATAAATTTTTTTTATATATTTTTTAAAAATTATATAAAATTGAATATTTGTAATTATATAGTAAAGTATAACAAGCTAATCCTTTCAAAATTAATTATTTCACTATCTTAAAAAGTAGACAAAAAAATTATTTCAAAAAGTACAACAAAATGGACACTCATAAGAACATAAATTATAAAAGAAAATGCTAATTGAATCAGCACTATTCCATAACCGCCTACATGGAGGGGTTTAGGATTTGAGTTTTGAAGAAGCAAAAACACATTCAATTTTTCATCGAAAAAAATTATTATAAAATTTTAAATTTTGATTTATATCAGTATCAAAAAATGAATAATATTACTATTAATCGAATATTCTTTTGTCAATATAATTGAGAACAAAAATATAATTAAACATATTTTTCATATGTATTAACTTAACAAAATATTAACTATTTTGGGAACTTGGCTAAAAGCTAACTTTTTGATTTTTTAATTTTTTTAGGTCATATCACCTCTCTACTTATTTATACATTTTTTCAAAAAAACTAAAAAAAAAAATCTAAAAAGTCAGCTTTTAACCTATTTCTCAAAACACATGTCTCCGTTGAGTAAAGTTAACTATTTGAAAATGTTATAACCACCACTTTTTATAATATATATAAAAACAATTATGATAAACTCGACATCAAAACCTTAATTAATATATTTCTCAATAAATATGATCAAGTAATTTGCTACAAAATCATCTGCCATTTTATTACGCAGTTTAGTTTTGAAAAAAATTTATAATTGAAAATGTATATTTTTATGAGTGTAATAATAATCTGTTTGAATAAGAGATTTTAAATTTTATTAATTTATTTTAAGAATGTTATGTTAAAATAGACAATATTTTCATTTTTAGAGAATGAACCAATAAAAATAAATGCAAAATAAGATGCATAAGCAAATTAAAGTGTGATTTATAAAAAAAGAAAAAAAAAACATAAATGCATATGAACATAAAACAAAAATAGAAACAAATAAAAGAATACAAGTAACTTTAAACAATATAAAAATATAACAAATAGAATAGATCAAAATTTCATAAAACTCAATTTAAAAACTATTTTACAAATTTTATAATGTAAATAATTTGGAGAGTGTTAACTATTGAAATTTTGAAAGTATGAAGTATTCTAGTTTAAAATTATCTTACTAATTACTAATATAATATACATAATTTCTACAAATTTTAGGAGTGCGATTACCTTTGTCTGCATCCCTCGTTGACTAAAAATTTAGAGGTTAATTTTATAAAATTAATAAGATGAATTGGTATGGTAATTGCTGTTAAATGGGTTGCGATTAATGTTGATATATTTATCAAAAATGTATTGAAATATATAAACAATCATCAAAGTTTATACAATTACCTAAAATATGTATTAACCAACTCATTTATATTTTTTAGTGGTAGGTGAAAACAAGATATATTTGTAATTTTACTTTTACATTTTTGGAAGAATTTGAAAACGATTTAATAGTTTTTCTATTATAGTCATTTAGTAATTATTTAATGGACATTATTGGGGAAAAAAAAAAAGAAGAAGTGACTTTTGAATAGAATACCGTAGAAAAATCAGAAGTCAAAATCAAAATATTGTAGCGTAGAAAAATCAAATTTCAAAATTTCACACTTTGAGCAATGTCAATCATTATCCAAACTCGTTCAAAACAAAAAAACAAAAAATTCATCATACAAACTTTCGATGTATAAATATATACGTATCAGCAACTAGTTCAAATCATCATCTACAAACTATAATAAAATCAAATCGAGAGAGAAAGAGAATGAGTTTCCTTGCATGGAGATTGGCGGGCACAGAGGGTGCGTTGAACCCTCTCCGGGCTTACAGTTCTCTGCCTCAAGTCACTTTTGGCCCGAAAAGGTAATTTCTATTATTTCTTTTGCTCATTCATAGTTTTTTGATTGTGGGTTCTAAAGTTTAATGCCTGATTCAAGTATTTTTTACATGATTCAAGATGTTGGTTAGTGGGTTGGGGGGTGAGTAATCCGTTTGGTAGCTGAGAAAATGCTGGGGAAATGGAAATTATTTATTTTCATGTCTGGTGAATTGAGTACTTTTTTTGGTAATGTGGGTTTGTTTAGCTGCTATGATTTGAACAATTGCTAGCCTTTTACATGCAGATTGAAGTTACACAATACAGACAACTCTGTTTCTGCGTCGGCTGCCAATGAATTGCGCCATGACAGAAACCCTGTTAATGCTGAGAAGTTGAAGACTGCACCCGTAGGGCTATCCAGAGGTAGATTTTAACCTTCTTAGAATTCTTTAATGTCTATTCATTTTCTTCTTGAATATGTGATTGTAGTTTCAACCTTGGGTTTTAACTTTTAGTTATATGGGGGATGCTAGTTTGAGTTTTTCTTGAATGATGGGTCTTTGATTTTGTGTTTTCTGTTCATTTCATTTTTCTCTGTTGGACCAATGATAAATATTTGTTCCTGTCATTTGACTCTGCAAAACAAAAAAAAAAGTATACATTGGGGAGGCTCAGTCCAACAGTTAGGCTTGTTATTAGCATCTTAGTGGCATAGGTTCCAATCAAAGGAACAATCTCTCCAGTAATTGAGTAAAGTTGCGTACATCATCTTCTCTCCAGACCGCGCTTTAACAGGAGTCTCATGCACTGAGTCGTCTTTAGAAATCAATGTTTAATTAAGAACAAATTGCATTATATTTAATCTTAGTACATAATGTAATAGTCTTCTCATCACCCTCAAACATGTGTACACATATGATTTGACATACATTTGAACTAATAATCTTTTCTGTGTTGTGTCTTCACTCTTCATGTTCTTGTTTTTTACTACATTGATAGACATTACCACAAGACATTCAATAATGTGAAGTCTAGCATGGTTTGCATTCTAATCAGATTATGCAATGCTTTTGAATAAAACTTTTAGAGCATTAAAATTAACGAATTTCATAAGAATAAGAAAAAGGCTTTACAAGGATTTTCAATAATTATGAATGAAACGATACCCTACAGCATTTTAGGTAATTAAGTTTATGGAACTTTTTCAATGGTAATTATTTATGGTACCACGAACACCAATATGAATGAATCGGCATCAATTCATCCTTACGTGATATTTGCTGGAGAACAAATCAATGAGGGAAGAATTTATTTGTGGGTAATTTATTATGTCCGAGATGCAATTCTCTGATGCATCAAGCTCTTTTTAAATTGGAATTATGAGGAAAATAAACAATTTTAATTGTTTCTTGTATCTAGACCGTATTTGCTTAAAGCATGCTAACACTCGGTGTTCTGCTCCTGTAACTTTAGATGTGAAGGTATTTGCTGTTGCTACTGCTGCTGTCATTGAAGGTGCCACCTATATTTTTGGACTGTCAGCGTCCAAAATAGAGGTGCAAAATGTAAGTACACATCTTCCGTGCTTCGACTCTTAAAATTTTCTCCACATCATGGACTTTTCATTTTCAAATTAGTAAATGACAATCAAAGAGAACCTCGATAAGTTTTTCTTATTGTGTATGTGCACACAAACACATGCCCAAATATATAAATGACTAAACCGCATGGGTGAAATTAGTCAACTGATAAATGGGTTTTATTACAATCTGCCTCCTTAAATTTTCATAATAAATTAAGAGAGCCGTCAATATAGCAATGGTTTTTGTTGATGCCGTGCTATACGTGTCATTAAATGTCCAATTTACGTTTTACTAAAAATATCCTAGCCACATACACATTAGAAGAAAAAAATATCGTTTGGATGTGATATTTTTATCGTTTTACTAAAAATATCCTAACCACATACATATTGGTAAAAAAATATTTTTACTAAAAATATTGTTTGACAAATTTGTTTTTTTATTTTTTTATTTTTTATAAGAAAAAAAGTGAAATGCTTATGGTTTGGATATGACATTTTATCTTATTAACTTATTTAGCCTATTTTGTCTTTTATGCTTTTTTAGTTCCAACTAGAATAGCGAAACGAAGCCTTAATTTGACAATGTTTTGAGTGTCTTTGTCTACACATTGCATTCATTTCTGGGGGAAAAAAAATTTCACTTGCCGTCTATTTATGTTTTTTTGACTTTGCAAAAACGTCCTTGTGCTTACAAGAGAAATATGATATATTTGACAGAGTGAAGACATCAAAGCTAAAGGGAAAGAACTGGTTCAGCCAAAAATGGAGATGCTCAGGGAGCAATTGACCCCCTTAAAAAATTGGGTATGTGAAGTCAAGAATTCTGACTTGGATTTTGGATTTGTTGATGAATTTATGAAGAGAGAACAAATTTTTTACTTTAGCTTCTTTTTTTTCACTTCTCTATTTCCTCCTCAGATCACTCTATATTAGTATATGATCCAAACACTGAGAAGAGTTTGGTTGCTTTACTTGCAAACTAAGGGTGACTTTGTAATTACAGGTAGGAGACAAGCAGAAGAAATGGCATTGGGAAAGAGAGAGAACTATCAAAGAGAAACCTATAGGAAAGGAGCTTTCCAGGACTATGGGTCCTAAGACTCCACCAAATTAATTAGGTGTGAATCAGTTTCCATAAATAATGCATGTAAGTATGGTTTGAAATGATTTGTTGTTTGTTGTTGTACAAGTTGCTTGCTAGGATTGCTGTTTTTTTATTTGGAAGTGATTTGTGTAATTGATTTTGAGACTAATAATTGGAGGGATCATCTTTTACCCTTGTGGCAGAGTAAGCATATTGAAGGAGATTCGTCTGTGGTATGATTGGACTTTTTCATTCCTTTTGGCTCTTCATTACTTAAATATAAATCAAACTTAACACTTGTCACATAATTGGACTAAGAATTTTCATGAATCGATGAGATATTTTAGAAGTGAACTCTAGCCATCAAATTTGTGCCATCTGGCAATTATGCATGTGAAAGGGTCGCACTGGGCTGGTGGTGGTGGTTATCTATCACGTGGGAAAAAACAAACGTGTGATCAGATCAATCAAGTGATAGTGGTTTGGCATCAAATATTTTTTTCCTAAGCTAAGACAGAGTTGGCGAGTGACGATTGTTCTGTCTCTTAATAAAAGTATTTTAGAACTCAAGCTTGTCTTATTATTAGAGAAATGCGAGTACTCTCTGACAGAATTGACGCTTCACTCTATTATTGTCTCTTATTCTTGAGGGGGTGATTGGGATTAAGCTATGTGACAATACCTCGAAAACAAAAGACTATTCACTTTTTGGGGTGGGCCTTTCTTTCTCAAATCCATATGCGGAGAATTATTCAACACACTAAAATATAGTGGATGGGTTCAATATTCATGCAAAGCCAAGTTTGAAATGATTCATGTTACAAAACCAAGATGACCCATCTTATTAATAATAATAGAAGCTAATAAATTTTGTAAAATTGTATCCATTCATATATAATAATTATTAATATTACTATTATTATTATTATTATTATTTTATTATAGAATATTTGACTCTTGGAGATCTGTCTATTCTCCTTGGAATTTAATGACTAAACAACTACTTTTTAATCAATTTTATTTAATGAAGATAAATAAATAATTTACAGGTAAGAGACAAGCAGAAGAAATCGCATTGGAAAAGAGAGAAATATCAAAGAGAAACCTATAGGAAAGGAACTTTCCAGGACAATGGGTCCTAAGAGCATTCACATCAAGCTTAATAAGTTTTGAACTAAATTACAATTTAAAAATCACTTTTCTATTTTGTATAGCTTTCTTTTTAAATACACCATGTATTAGACTCTCTATTTTAATTTTATTTTATGGGTAAATTACAAATACACTTCTTGAGATTTGCTTAAAGTACAGAATGTTCCCTGTGGTTTGAAAAATTACAAATACCTCCTTGTTAGTATTTTTTATTTAACAGAATTAACTAAAAAAATGAAATTCATAAATATTTTCCTATACAATAATAAAATTACCTAAATTATTAATTAAAATATATTTCTAACATCATTAAAAACTGTTAATTGACTTGATGATTTATTAATAAAAATGACAATTTGTTATAAAATTAGAAACCTCTGTAGGTGGAATATAATTTTCAAAATCACAAGGGGCGATTTGTATTTTAATCAAATCTTAGAGGGTTTATTTGTAATTTACCCTTATTTTATTAAAAAATTATTTTGTTATCCATTATCTCAATGATTAGTACTCAAGAAAATTAGGACAGAAGAGTCAAATCTATCAAAAAATAATAAACTATTAAATAGTCAATGAATAATGGCTCAACAAATTTATTGAGTTACTGTGACAAATATAAATAATAGCTAGTCATAGAATTAATTTATTAAGATTGATGGGACAACATTTTTATAGTTCCTAGTGATATTTAACCAAAAAAATTATTTATTGAGACTAATGTGATACTCTAAGATACCACCAAAACCACCAAATTAATTAGGTGTGAATCAGTTTCTGTAAATAGTGCATGTAAATATGGTTGAAGTGATTTGTTGTCTGTTGTTGTATAAGTTGCTTGCTAGGATTGCTGTTTTGTTATTTGGAAGTGATTTGTGTAATTGATTTCGACACTAATAATTGGGGGGTATCATCTTTTACCCTTATGGCAGAGTAAGCATATTGAAGCAGACTCGTCCGTGGTATGATTGAACTTTTTTTATTTCTTTTTGGCTCTTCGTTACTTAAATATATATAAACTAGGAGTTTTCTTAAGTGTGCAAGTGCACATCATGTGCCACTTACACAAAAAGTGTAAGTGTAAGGTGTAAGTATAAGTATAAAGTGTAAGTGTAAGGTGTAAGGTGTAAGGTGTAAGTGGGTTGCACATGGTGTGCAACCTCAAAAAAGGTGTAAGTGCAAGGTTTAATTTTTTACAAAAGGTGTAAGTGTAAGGTGTAAGTGTAAGGTATAAGGTGTAAGGTGTAAGTTGCACACCATAACCAAACCCATCAAACTAACCCTTATCACATGAGTTTATTTAGAAAGCTGTTTAAAAGTTAATTTTTGATTTTTAACTTATTTTGGGTTATATCACTTTTTATATTTTTTACTCATAAAAAGATAAAAAAATTAAAAAAATCAACTTTTCAAAACATCCTATAATTAGATTAATTATTACTTAAATATAAATCAAACTAAAACTTGTCACATAATTGGATTAAGAATTTATATTTCTTTTTGGCTCTTCGTTACTTAAATATATATCAAACTAACCCTTATCACATGAGTTTATTTAGAAAGCTGCTTAAAAGTTAATTTTTGATTTTTAACTTATTTTGGGTTATATCACTTTTTATATTTTTTACTCATAAAAAGATAAAAAAATTAAAAAAATCAACTTTTCAAAACATCCTATAATTAGATTAATTATTACTTAAATATAAATCAAACTAAAACTTGTCACATAATTGGATTAAGAATTTATATGAACCGATGAGATATTTTAGAAGTGAATTCTAGTCATCAAATTCATGTCACTTGATAGTTATGTATATGAAAGGGCCGGCCCATTGGTGGTGGTTATTTATCATGCGGGAAAAAGTAAGTGTCTGATCAGATCAATCAAGTGATAGTGGTTCGGCGTCAAACATCTTTTTCTTAAGTTAGGACAGAACTGGCGAGTGACGATTGTTCTATCTCTTAATAAAGAAACTTTGAAACTCAAGTTTACTTTATTATTAAAGAAAAAAAAAATATTCCGTAAAAGAATTGACACTTCGTTCTATTATATCTCTTATTCTTGATGGGTGACCGGGATTAAGTCGCGTGGTGATACCCACGAAACAAAGAACTACTCACTTTTTGTGGTGGGCCTTTCATACTCAAATCCGAATGGGGAGAATTATTCATTGCACTAAAATATAGTGGATGGGGTTTAATATTCAGGGAAAAGTCAAGTTTGAAATGATCCATGTTACAAAACCAAGATAACCCATCTTATTAATAATAATAAAAGTTAATAATTTTTGTTAAATTGTACTCATTCGTATATTATTATTATTATTTATTTTGACATATTTGACTCTTGGAGGGCTGTCTATTATCCTCGAAATTTAATGATTAAATAACTACTTTTTAATTTATTTTACTTAACAAAAATAAATAAATAATTTAAACTAAAAACTAATCAAATATTGAAATTTAAGTTGATAAAATTAAAAGATCATAAGTTATTTTATTACAAGAGTTACATCTTGAGATTTTTTTTTGTAATTTCTTTAGATTATTTATTTATTTATTATTATTATTTTGTGAATGAAAAAATTGATTTGATAAAAATGGGTCATTTTTTGATAAATTCCTTTGCTAAGTGTTTCATTCTATTTAACCTATATTCTTTTTGAGTTTTTCATTAAGTCTTATTTAATGTAATATGACCAAATTATAATTTTTTTGCATATGTTTTTATTTTGAAACTAATATACAATAAAAACTAACAATAGTCTCTCATTTTGTGAAAAAAAAATTCTTTCTCTGATTCGATAGAGAAAACCTCTCCCTCATTCTAAGGAGAAAAACTCTCCCTCATTTTATGGAAAAAAATCTCAAATTATAAATTTTGAACCTTTTTATAATGTGAAATTTTTTAAAATAATGCAATAAAAAATCTAAATAAAAATCAAAATGCAATGTGAATGTTCACAGTAAATAACAAATATACAACTAACTTCTCAAAAAACAAAACACATACAAAGCTATGTTTGGTTTTGGCTTTTGGCTAAAAAAGCACAAAAAACAAAATTGGCTAAATAAGTCAATAAGACAAAATGTCACATCCAAACTATAATCATTATATTTTTTCTCTCACAAAAGTCAAAAACACCAAAAACAAAAATCAAACGAGGATAAAATAGCCAAAAAGTCAGGCTATTTTAACTCTTCCCAAAAAAACATACAACTAATCTTCGGAAAAAACAAAACTCACACTAAAATACAATGTGAATGTTCACAGTTTTATAATTAACATACAGCTAGTCTTTAAAAAAATAAACTCATACCAATGTAAACATTTATACTGCAATGTGAAAACATAAAATAAAATTGAAAAAAGTGAAAATTGACTATTTCAATTGTTCAATGGTAACAAAAATGATTGTTTAACTAACACGCATAGTAACAAAAAAAACAAATATACAATTAACTTTCGAAAAAACAAAATTTATATTAAAATACAATGTAAATGTTCACAATTTATAATTAATATACAACTAGTTTTAAAAATAAAAATAAAATCATGCCAATATGAACATTCACACTACAATATGAAAACATAAAATAAAATTGAAAAATTGAAAATTGTCTATTTCAATTGTTCAATGGTAACAAAAATGATTGTTCAACCAATAAGTATAGTAACAAAAACAACAAACATACAACTAACTTTCAAAAATAAAAAATAAAAAAAACTCATATCAAAATGCAATGTAAATATTCACAATTTATAATTAATATACAGCTAACCTTAGAAAAACTAAATTTATACGAATGTGAGCATTTACACTGTAACATAAAAATATGAAACAAAATTGAAAGAAAAAAAATGATTATTCCAATTGTTTATTGGCAACAAAAAATGATTGTTCAAACAACAAGGACAGTAACAAATAACCAATGATATGTGAACATTTTCATCTTACAAAATATATAACTATAGCCATATCTATATTCCAAAACTTACTTATCGGACTTCCAAATAATGTGAAATGTGAACATTCACACTAATTGATAAAA